ACAATGGTATTAACTCAATGTCTAAAGAAAAGGAAAGATAGTGGAGAAAGTGTAGACATCTCACCTTATTCCAGCAGTTATCAAACTTAAGATTGACAAGGCCTCCATCTGCAAAAATGAAAGAGAGCATATTATTAGTTCCACATTACCATCAATAAAACAACTTTTAAAGATGTTAATGACAGTTCTACTTGCCCTCAAAAGTCTTTTAAAAAACAGAAAGTGAGAAAGGCTTTAAAATATGGGAGAATTAAGTTAAATTGTCCCCCCTCTACTCTTTTTCAGGCTCAGGGGCTGTTATAACTGAAAGATTTTCCACTTACAGCCCAAGAGGCTTTTGTACCTTAAAGACTCATGTCATTTCTCGTTTGTAATTACCAACCTTTCAATCTATAGGCATTCAGTATCTTTCAAAACCAGTGTGTTAAAAACAAAAAATCATCTGAATTCGGGCACAGCATTAATTTCAAGAAATTATGGGCCCATCTCTGGTTTGACCCTAATCATCTAGATTCTAGTTAAACTTGGTGTAAAGCCCACTATCGACCCAAGTATTGAATCAATTTATCTTCTTCAGGAGTCAGCACACAATGGAAGGATCAGCATGACATTGGATTCACTGCCAGTGATAACATGCATCATGTAAATTTACAAACAAAAAAATAACCAATTACCTGTTATAGGGACAACAAAACATTTTCGGTTAAGAAGAGAAGTCATGGTGTAAAAAAAAAAATACAACAAACTACAAGAGACTATCATTAATCAAAATATTAATTTTATTTTTGATGATAAAAGGTATATAAAAGACAAGTTGATGTTTTTTCCATTTTCATATAAAAAGCAGAGTGCTAGTGTTAGTCAAAGTGGTGATGGTGATTAAAACAAGGATCTGGGGTGGTGGGGTGATCCGATAAAGATGCGGTCCGCTGGGAACATCCAACGTAATAGAGGTTGCTGATAAGACTCACATCTCGGCACAAGAAGCAGGACAAGAGTTAAAATTAAGGCACTCACGATAATGATTCATATAAAACTGAAACTGTCAAATCTCTGTCCGAAGAGACTAGCAGTTCAGTAACACTCTCAACACTTTTTCATTTTGCCATTTTGTGGACTGTTTTGGGAGCTTTTTCGGTAGTTCCCACCCCTCTTATTGAGCCTGACCTACATCTAGATCTATACGTTTGATTCGCGGCAAGCTAAGATATCAAACCTAACAACTGCAAAACATTAAATTCTGGTAAAGTTCAGGGGGCATGCCCCCCTGAAACCCCCCACCTTATTTTTATTAGGTCAGGGGGGCTTGGGGGCTAGCCCCCCTGAAGGCCACCTCTATTCTCACCCGGAAAGTGAGAATAGTGCAGGCGAGTCTTGTGGCTATTCTCACCCGGTGCGCATTCATCAAATTTTGCGTTCACCCTAAACCACAGAATTCTACACTGTGATAACAGAAAAATTGTAGAATTCTGTGCCGTGAACAAACGTTCCATTACAACTATAGCCTACTAAAAGCGTACAATTTTGTCAGTGGGCAGTGGAGAGAGAGAGAGAAAGAGAGAGAGGAGTAGCGCGAGAATTTCCGGGCAAAACAAAGTGGCGACCCGCGTAGTTCGGCTCGATTCGAAAAGTTAAATAGCCGTAGCATCTTTGTCTTTGTAGACAACCAAATTAATTTACTTTTGTGTTTTAACATCATTTTTTAACTTTGTTTTGGTCAATTTGATCGTCCACACCGATAGACAGTATTCAGAAAGAGACAGAGAGAGAGAGAAGAGGGGAGGAGTTGATCTTGCGAGATCTTCCGGGCGGGTGAGAATAGCCACTTTCCCCCCTGAAACCCCCCTACTCTTGGGGCCAAATCCCGTGAATAACAATTGCGGGGTGGGAACTACTGAAAAAGCGCCCTTTTTTGGCTGTCCTTCACTTTAAGCCTTTTTTTTAACGAAGTGACTATTTCTCCGAACGTTCGGAGAAATAGTGCCGATCTTTATTTCTCCGAACGGTTTTCGGCTTCCGGTCTCGTGATTTTTTGCCTATTTATTGCGAGAGTTCGGCGCCAACTTTCATTCTGCCTCTGCCTCTGGTCTGGGAAGGAACACGTACCGCATGGCAAGCCCGCCTACAGACAACCTTCAGTAACACCCACCACACACCCACCACCATCATGCACATGTACACACACTAACTAAACATAACTAGTGGGCAACTTTTGAACGTATGACGAGCTGAACTGTGGATGGAGAGACAGTGTGAGTGAAAGAGCGGGTGAAAGGAAGAATGTGCGAGTGTATCCACAGGCGACAGCAACTAAAAGACGACGACACTGACCACCCCTGGCCTGGTCCACAGCTCACGAACAAAAGGAATGCAGCTCAGGTGGTGTTTTGCCTATATTATTGTCCATGGTTCGCAGGGAACAAGTGAGATTTTCTTTGTGTGTGCCTGGAGGGATGGGGTGGGGTATGAAAGTCATGCGGACAGGGATGAGCCGCGGGAGAGAACACGGGAATTGAATGAAAGAGTGAAACTGAAAGAGACGAATGACTCATGAGTCCTGGAGTGAATGGATCCTGTGTTTCTATTTTTGTATACTTTGAACTGTTACTGAATAAAGGCTGAAATAAAGCCCGAAAAACAAACAAACACACACACACACTCCTCACTCTCCACTTACTACCACACACAGACACACTCAAACACTCACACATACATACACACACACACACACACACACAGGAGCAAATTTTTGGGTCTATATCTATTTAAATTTTCAACAGCTAGTCTAGATGAGATTTTTAGATGAGTGTAAAAACGTGAAAAAGAAAGGTTTCATAACAGAAAGAAATCAAAATTAGAACAGCCCATAAACAACAACAAACATTAACAAATAAGGGCGTGTGTTCACCTGTCCGAAGAAGATTGGCAGTTTTAACCCTAAATTCCTAAATGTGCGTAATTTTTAAAAAAAGTACAGGATATTACATGTAAATTATGGAATCACACACATTAAGGGGCTTGCCAGTGTCAGTACATTGGTCGCAGCAGTGACAAACGCAGATGCCAGTTCTATGTGTAGTTATCAATAACCCTCCGTAGATCTAGATCTAGTCAGCACACGAGTGAACACAACACATTACGTTTAAAAGCAGCACCTTTCATAGGCAACACGTCATATCTATAGCGAAAAACTGTTTGGAATTGTAGCATTTCTTTATATAAATATTTACGGCGGACATTTTTTGGACCGATTGAACCATATTGTATACGAACAATCTTTGGTAGGCCCATACTATAATTATAGATCTAGATCTATATAATATCCGAAATTTGGGGGAAAGGATGATATTTCAGAGTGTACGGAGAAATAGTGCCCAGCTTTATTTTCCTGAACGTTCGGAGAAATAGTGCCCAGCTTTATTTTCCCGAACGTTCGGAGAAATAGTGCCCAGCTTTATTTTCCCGAACGTTCGGAGAAATAGTGCCGGCCTTTTTTTTAGCGAACCTTTGCCTTTGGTGTGCCAGCTTAACAAATCAATTGTCGGGATTCCTAATTGTCAGTTATGAAGCAGAAAACCGTAGGCCTACATCAACACACTTTCTAAATTTTAAACTCTACCTATTGTCATCCATGATTATCATAACTTACCTCTCCATCAGACAGATACTTGTGACTGCCAGCCACTGGAACTGTAACTGGGACCGGAGGCAATTCAGCCGACAGAGATCCATAATTCATGGAATCCATGATGTAGATTCTAGATCTAGACAACAGACTCTTAGCTGTCAACAAAATGTCTTCTTCGAATGCATGCAGATAATGTTGCCTATGTAGGACTACGATCGCTCGGAGTACAACATGAGTGTGCTGGTAGTTCCATTTTTCTGGACATGGTCGGTCCCCACTCACCACTACTCCAACAAAACACTTCGTTTCACTTCCTGTGTAATTGTAGGCTAAAGTGTTCAGCATTTAATTTTTTCAATGCACCGATCACGTGCCACTATTTATAAACATTGCAAAAAATGTAAATTATGTAACGCAAAGCACAAAATAATTATATTGGATTTTATTCAACCATAGCTCGCATGAACAAAATCAGATTTCGGTCATTTTGGTTCAGTTTAACCATTATATTTGAGACAATATTTTGAAAAAGAGAAAATAAAACCCCCCAACCCCAGGTGAAAGTGAAAATAAAAAGAATTACGGGAACCAATTCTGGCAGTTGTCTCCCTGGTTGCTAGTAGGAACACCACAAGCAAACCGGAAAAGGTTGACAGCCGCTGTGAAGAGAGCTCCTGGAATTTTAGAATTTTTCACGTTTTAGAGTCATGGAATCTTCACAACAGGTACATAATTATACTCACGATGTAGACATTTAGTGGTATATAATTGAAGAAGAAAGCCATGGCTGACAAGTGAAGAGTTTTCAACGGTATGAAACCCCACTAAACTCATAAACAAAAACAAACAAAAAAAGCCCTCGACAGCAAGGCTCGGTTACTGATGAGCTAACAAAGAACTGTAATTGTGTTGTTTTCAAACAGCAGCACGCAAGATTACTCTGAATAAAATAAAGTGACAAAAACGATGAATCTGTAAATGTACTCCTTATAGAGAGTCTAGATCTAATCCACTTTCAAAAAAGATAAACGTCGCCTAAAAAAAAAAAAAAGAAAAAAAAAAGAGAAGCAAAAAATAGAATATAATGATATAAATCTAGATATGTAGATCTAGATTCTAGATCTAGAATCTAGATCATCTAAATCTAGATCTAATTCTAAAACATATTATGTGTAGCCTAAGCCAGTTTTGTGAAGGGTTCAGATTTTAAAATGGTGCTTAAGTAGGTTTTTTGTTTTTTTGTTTTTGTAAAGTGTTTTACGGCGCTCGCAACTGCATAGGTCATATGAGCGCGCGGGACACACCTAATATTTTTAGTTGGTAGGAAATTTTGAATTTTGCCCTGGTGGCGGCCGAAGCCTACTCTTATCGATTTTAGACCACCAAGGGATCTTTAACGTGCGCAACTTGCACACGGGCCCTCCGAGATTTTTCACCCTTGTCCGAGAAGGCTATGTGTAGATCTTTCCTACCAGAAGATCAGGGGTGTGGCAGAAAGACAGCAGTTAGGAGGAGCCAGGGAGTAGCAGTAGAAAGGCTGCAGAAAGAGTCAGGAGCCCAGAGGAAGGGGCAAAGGAGGTGAGGGGGTGGGGGCAGAAAGTGGAAATGAAAGCAGACAACAGAACATTGCTAGAGAGCAGAAAAGGAGGTGAAAGGAGACAATTTTAGAGAAGAAAATTTTTTGGTCGCTACCCGGATTCGAACCCGGGACCTTTGAATGAGAGGCCAACACCTTAACCTCTAGGCCACGAGAGCCCCCTAAGTAAGTTTAAAAGAAACAAAAACATTTGGTTGAAATTTTTTTTTTCTTCCATGGTATTCATTTCTAAAAGCAGTTCCAATCAGAAAGATGTAACCTATGATTCTTTAGTGTGCCATAACAGCTGCTTTATGATTGGTGAACCTTTCCAACTTGTTGAATAAGGGGTTTAATCAGACTTTTTTGTTTATCAAAATCCTTCTTTTGGTTGAGCTGATTTGATGCTTGTTCTCCCTGTTTTAACGTACATGAATCTTGATACAGCTGCTTTTGAAAGCTCTGGTGTTAAAAAAAACAACAACTTTAGATTTCTGATATTGATATCTACCTGTTTCTTTGCTGTTGAAATTAAGAAACATTATGATCTGCACTAGTGTCGATAAGATAGAACCAAGCATGTTTTTGGAGATGCTTTTACAGTCGAACCTGCCTTAACGGAAACCTGTATAAAACGGAAACCTGTCTTAACGGAATCTCCCTGCTCCCCCCTTGATATATTCCTCTTTAATTACCTCTATAAAACGGAAACCTGTCCAACGCGGAAACGGAAAGAAAAATCCGCTCCCTTCCGAGGATTTCACCTAAGACGGAAGATGCTTTGCCCGCTCAGCCCTTATTTGAAACAAAACTCGCAAGTTTGGTTCCGCTGGCTCTAACTCTAAACTAACACTATGGTCATGCGGCTGGACGAGGAAGGGGAGTAGGGGTGCAATTTGGGGATAGATGTTACCCTAGGCTTCCTCAGACTGAGGAAGCCTAGATGTTACCCCATCGTGTGAGCCCTGAGTGATGTAGATGGTCAGTGTAGTGTGGGTGTGAAATCTCTCGACTGCCCCTGAGAGTGCTTGAGTAGTGAGCCACTACGGAAACTTTCCTGGGTCCAGAAGCCAGAGGTGTGAAATTAGATTGACCAATGCCTGCCGCCCTGATCGTACAGCCAGCCGAGAAAAGAGTTCCTTG